GAATGGCGCCCGCCGCAGCCCCCGCGGAGGGGGCGGACCCGGAACCGCGGCAGTCGCTTTCCGCCGGCACATCATCAGCCCCACCGCCGGCCATGTGCGGTCGGCAGAGCACGGCCGCTGATGGAGGAGACGCCGCGCCCGGGACAGAGCTGGCGGAATGGAGGAGCTCGGCGAGGCTGAACAACGCCGGCCCCGCCGAGAGACACGGCAGGGCCCAGATAAGGGACGAAGCACGTCCAGCTGGGAGAAAGAGCATGGTCCCAGAAATGGCACCAAGCCGTCAGCTGGGCGACAAGGCAGACCTAAGCCGGAGAAAAGCGGCTGGAGACAGAACAGATCAGCCGAGAGGCAAAGCAGCTGCAGTCGAGCAGGACGAGCGCAAGACCGACAGGACGGCTGCGCCGGTTGCAACAGGATCCGAAGAGTTAACAGATCCGGCACAACCATATCCGACAGATCCGGTACGGCAGATGCAGTGGATCTGACCAGATCCTGTGCAACAGCTCAGACGGACCCGAAAAGACACCGTACAACGTATCCGACAGACCCGATGCGGCAGATCCAGCGGGCTGACAGATCCCAATACAGACATATCCAACCGCGATCTGGTAAATCCGGCACAGAAAAATCCAACGGATCTGGCAAATTCCGTTGCAACAGATACGACCGGATCAGGAGGTCCGGTACAACATAGCCAGCAGATCCGGTGTTTGCAAACAGATCCGAAGGCCGGCGGTCACGCGAGCCAGCCAAGGTGGCGGCGGGCGGCCGGTCGGGATGGCGACGGGCACACGGTCGGGATGGCGGGGGCGGACCGGTCGGGATGGCGGGGGGCGGCCGGTCGGGATAGCGGCGGGGATCGGGATGGTGGCGGACGGCCGGTCGGGATGGCGGCGGGGGTCGGTCGGGATGGCGGCGGGGGTCGGTCGGATGGCGGCTGGGGGTCGGGATGGCGGCGGAGAAGCCGGTCGGACGGCGGTGGGCAGCCGGAACACATCGCGATGGGAGCCGACGTCCGCAGCTGGCCCGCTGTCGCGAGCAAACGCAGCAGTTCGGCGCCGGCTGCGTTATCTGGCACCGACCGACGCGACCTGGGACGCGGCCCGGCGGCCCGTCAACGGAGGCAACGTTAAGCGACAGCGAACGTGAGCGGAATCCCTGGGTTGTTCCGTTAGGCTTGGCAAGCCGCCACAGAAACAACAGCCCACGACCAGGAGGTCACGGGCGCAAAGACGAACTGCGCGGAGCAACCACCCTGTAATGGACAGCACATCTCACGGGCAGGGTAATAAAACAAAAAACAAAACACCAGACAATAGCCTCCACAGAGGTGAGGGAAAAGTCCGAATCACCCAGCCACCGGTCACGCATTCACCATCACCTAAGGGCCAATACAAAACATATCCGAAGCGACCGCTCCCAAGGACACCTAGTCCAGCGGCACACAGTGCGCTCGTACATGCCGTGCCACCGGCGCGCGTGGCGCAATCCTGACCCTGCCTGGTGCCGGATGACGAATGACGAATGACGGATGACGGACGACGGACGACGGACGGCGGATGACGGACAATGGACGACGGACGACTGTCGACAGTCTCACGGCACCAGCGCCCGGCGAGACAGCCAAGTGCTTGGCACTACGCCGCGGTGCCGACCGATAAGACAGGCCACTGCCGAGCGGCCGACGGCGAGAGCGCGTCGAGACGACCATCCGGCCCGGTTCGGCGAATGATGACGGCCGGGACAGCGGGGAGAGGTCAGAGTGTTGTCCCGGCAGACAGCAGCGGCGAGGACGTCACGTCCCCCGCTGTTTGGGGATGCGAGACGTCACGTCCTCCACTCTCTGGGGACGCGAGGGCATCACGTCCCCCGCTGTCTGGTGCCGCGAGGACACCACACCCCTCGCTGTCTGGGGGCATGAGGACATCACACCCCTCGCTGTCTGGGGACGCGAGGACATCACACCCCTCGCTGTCTGGGGGCGTGAGAACATCACACCCCTCGCTGTCTGGGGGCCTGAGGACATCACACCCCTCGCTGTCTGGGGACGCGAGGACATCACACCCCTCGCTGTCTGGGGACGCGGGGTCGTCACACCCCTTGCTGTCTGGGGATGTGAGGACGTCACGTCCGCCGTGCCGTGCCGCCGGGGGCTCCGGTCGTTTGTTTGTTATACGTGTACTGTTTGAGCCGCCGGTCGAGCGGGATGGTGGCGTCATGTTTCCGATCGCGGCCGCGCCCAGACGAAAACGGCCATGCAACTCGCAACCACCGCGTCGTCGCACTCCACTACCAGAATAGCAAAACGACTGCACGCACAGGAGCCGACGTCCGTTCGTGTTTCTCGCGTCGGCCGCTAGATGTCAGCACGTCCGACGGCGGATTGCGCCCGCGGTCGCCGTCGGCATATCTCGAAACTGCGCCCGTGCCGCGAGCCGAACGATACGGCCGGGCCGGTCCACCGCGACGCGCACCGCCGTCCGGACGCGTGCGGCCCGGCCGGCGGCAATAACGCGCCGCCGGCTGCTCATCAGCTCGATCTCGGCCGGGGCCGCTGGGCGCCTCGCGGCCGGCGACAGCCCTCGATGCGATCATGCCGCCAATACCGGCCGTCGGCGGGCTGCGGGCGGCGCCGTCCGGCCGCGCCGCTGCTCGTCTCCGTGGGCCCACCACCGGCCGGCGCGTGCCGGCGCGATCGATGCCCTTTTTTTCCTGTCGGCGTCACGCCGCCCGGTGGGATCCGAACCCGGCCGGACACGCCACACGACTATGCCTGGCGGGCGGCTGGCGGCCCGGTCGCGTCCGCTCGTCCGACGCGCTCGGCGGACGCCAGGCGCGCCTCCCGCCAGCACCTGTTGCTGCTCACGGCAGGCTTTCAATGGCGCCACATCCCATAGAGCCAAGCTGGCTTTTCTAGTGTGAGCACGTTTGGATAGCGGCCTGGCAGCGTCATGACACGCCATTGTAATGACTCCGGAAAGATTAAGTGCGCGGCGTGTCTGCTCAGTTGGCCCCACGCCGGACCACCACTGCAAGCGACGCCCCTCGCTGGGCCTGTGTTCCCCAACAAAGGCGCACGAAAACCTGCCCATTGGCCGGGTCGGCCCAGTCCGGGTCACAAGGATAAAGGTCAGGGGACGCAGGCCAGCCTCGACTCGCGTTCACGGCGCGCATATATACAGCACGAGGCACGCCCGCTTTCGCCTCTTCATCATGACTTGGTAGCTTAAGCGGTGTTAAAGATTAACGGTTTAAACGGTGATAATGATAAGCGGTCACAACAGTGCTGCCGATTAACGGTTTAAACGGCATCAGACACGCGGCAAGAAACTGAAGAGCTTCCGAGCATATTCCACCAGCGCAAACAATTCACATCGTAAACCAGCTTCCACCAGAGCTGGCCCTAGCACTCTTCTCGGCAGGCTGGGCTCTCAGCTCCGACCCGCGTCGCCAGGCCCACTGGACGGCGGCGTGAGAGCGGCTCGCGTGAGCGCCCCTGACCGCCCCACCGAAGACTAGAGGCTGGCGGCGGTGAGCGCCACTCCCATCCCGGCTGGCGGCGTCCGGCCGGCGCCGGCGGCAGCGGCGGAGCTCAGACGTCGGACGGCGCGCGGCCGGCGCGTACCACGGCCCAGGTCACAAAGCAGCCGGCTTTCCGAGCCGCGCATCGCGGCGCAAAAAGCCCCGAGAGCTGCCGCTCCGCCGCTCGGCTGGCAGAGTCCTCGCTCCGCGCGTCGAGCACTTTCGCTCGACTGACCTGGAGTGCACCCAGGGCGGGGGGGAGATGGGAGCGGGGAACGCCCACGTCACCTGAGCCGCAGGACGGAGTGCGTCCGACGGCGCGACCGTGCGCGATCAGTCTACCCCGGCTGGAGAAGATAACTTTTTGGAGTTTTACGGCGCATTAGGACCGCGGCCCATTTGGCGGCCCATCTCTCAACCTGCTCGTCGTGGGAAACGACGGAACTTTAAGCCGGCGGCTTGGCTCAAACCCGCCATTTTCGCGCCAGGTCGTGGGAGAAACCGTTACCAGCTGAGCATCGCTCGGTCCGCACAGCCCAAACCAGCCAGCTTCCCTGATCTGATCTGACTGGGCACGTCGTTCTGTTTGCCTGCGCTGGATTACCGCCGGGATTACCGGTGAGTCAGGCTTCGGGCGCCCGTTCACCTGGGGTCAGCTGTGGCCGCTAAGTTTACCCGGACCGGCGTGTCCGGCTTACCTGAGCTGCAGCGGGCGCTGCACCCCCGGCTCTGAGCGTCCCGCTCGTCCTGAGCGGCCGCCAGCGGCAGACCCGCGCGCCCGGCTCAGCGGACCGACCGCGCGGGCGCGGCGGTGCGGTGCGGTCGGCCGGCCCGTGCGCCGGTGGCTCCGAGCGGGCCCGCCTGGTCGATGCCGGGGCGTGCCGGCGGCACGGCCTAAGCGGACGCCCGCCCCAGCGGCCCTACTGGCCAAGGCTGTCCGCAGGGGGGTGGGGGGGGGGTGAGTGTGGGGGTCTGCCGCCGGGGACGCCGTCGCCGCCCGGCCGGCTGATGAAATGAAAACGTGCGCCATGGTCGCGTCTCGGGGGCTGGCCGGCGGCGGATGATCTGTCCAGAGACGGCGCCGCACGCGACACGAGCTCCACCAGCTCGGTTCGGGCACGACGACCTCCGTGCCGCCGTCTCGCTGTCGCAGGCGGCAAACGTCGAAAGGGAGCGTGCCGGGCACGTGACCGCCCGCCGACGCCCCCTTCGCCGGCTACGCCGCACGCTTCCCCGAAGCACCAGCGCTACGCCTTTGTAATAACAACGGGCGAGGCTAATGTTATTGAGCGCGCGAGTTATATAAGGTCGGCTCTTAGCCGCGCGGCCGGCGGCGGTTGGTTTGGGCCGGCGTCGTCACGGCGCACGAGCGCGCCGTGACGCCGCCGGTGCAGCACGCGCTGCTCACCGC